AAAAAAAAAAAAAAAAAAAAAAAACTATAGCTAAGCCTCTATAGCGACAAAAGTATAGGTTCCTTCACCAGCTGGAAACAGGTAAAGTTGAAGTAGATACATCGATGTAAACGCACTCGTTGTCGTGTTATGAGAACCTCAAATAAATTCTCGATCAAGCTTTTTGATTGGTTTGCTCAACCGGTAAAGGCAAACAAAAAATAAAATCCGCTCAACTAGTTTATGTGTTCAAATTAGCTCTTCTACCTTATATACTACACTCGGGGAAAATACACATAAATAAATTATTATCAATTAAAATAAAATCTATAACATCCCTAATAAATTAAATTTATAATATAAATAATACAATAATAAACATAAAAATATTATTTTTAATTGGATCATATAATATAAAAATAATTTCCTCAAATACATGTCGTCTTTTAATTATTAATAATTAAAAGGCAAAAATTGTTGTAAACAAACATTTAAAATTATTTAAAGTTAAAAAAATAAAATTATTTATATTGGGATTGGGAAATGATGACGTGGAGCATAAGCACGTGACAATGAAGAATAATATTTCTCCAAATGCAAACCAAAATCAGATCTCTCTGCCACGAGATTTCATTGTCATCTTAAATCTGCTTTTTTTTCTTAATTATTTTTTTAATTAATTTTTTAATTTTTAATTTTTTTAATTTTAATTTAGCTGCAAATGTCATGTCTTCCGTAGTCAACTTGCTCTCAACTTCCAAAAATTGTATATATATTATAATCATAATTTAAATAATTTCCTAATTTTTTTATTTATAATTTCGTTTTATTATTATTTTATTTTATATGTATCACCGATTTTTTTTTTATTTAGTTTTGATTGGAATTTAGGATCCAACGGTGGGGATTTTTCTTGGAAAATAAAAATAAATAATAAATAATTAAATGTGGGGAAAAAGTCGGTGCATGTAATGTATGGAGATGTTTGGCGTGACACGTTGTAAATCTCGCGAACATGGAAGCACTTATCAACTTTGACTAGTCAACCCATTTATTTATCCCTCGGGTTCCGATTCCTCCACGTAGGCCCATTTCCTTTTTTTTTTAATTATTATTTTATTATATATAATTCTTTTTTTATTATTTTTTAGAATTTTATGTTAATTTTTGGTTAATATCAAAATTAGTATACACTTTTTTTTTTTTATACCTAAATTTAAAAATTATCGGATTTTCATCTAAAAAGGGTTAGGTAGCAAACCGTAAGTAGGATCGTAATGTCTTTTCTGGCCATAAGTGACAGCCATTGACCACGTCATAGGCATTGAAGTAAAACTTAGCCAGTAAACCCTATAACCCGTTTGAAGTCTGTTGGTAAACTCTATATCCCGTTTGAAGTCTATTGGTAAACCCTATAACCCGTTTGAAGTCTGTTGATAGACCCTATAACCCATTTGAAGTCTGTTGGTAAACTCTATAACCCGTTTGAAGTCTGTTGGTAAACCCTATAACCCGTTTGAAGTCTGTTGATAAACCCTATAACCCATTTCATGTCTATTGGTAAACTTTATAACCTGTTTGAAGTCTGTTGGTAAACCCTATAACCCGTTTGAAGTCTGTTGGTATAGATTAATTTAGGATGGTTAGACCCTGATTTCTCCTATGGACCAGGTTCGTCTTAGTATACGAAAAAAACCCTCAAACTAGGTTAAGAATAGAAAAGGGAAGCCATGACAGCCACGAGACTAATTTAGACGTATATCAACTAAAAAGTTAGACGTTCGAATCCGGGCCTGATCACACCAACGGAAAAAGATGCCGATTAAGGGTTATTTTATAATTGAAGGTACACATGGTTGTCATCAAAGTCCTCAGAGAGTCCACTAAGACCCACTTGTGGTTTGTATGCAAAGACAACAAA